CTCCCCTTCCCTCTTTCCCCTCTCTCTCTCTCTCTCTCTCTCTCCCTCTCTCCCCTCTCTCACTCTCTCTTTAAAAAAAAAATACTATTCTGTCAAATGACAACCTGTAGTTGGACAAGTCATTGGAAACCCACATGGAGAACTATGGGTTGTGTTCTTCGCTAGCACACTGCTCCAAATCCTCAATTTGTTTATTTAGATTTCTTTCCTGAATGTGTTATATATAGATATATTTTTTCCACTACTTGGGATCTAACTCAGAACCTTTGCATGAAAGGCAAGTACTCTACCACTGAACTACATTCCCAGCCCATTTGCTAGAAATTATGACCTTGTCTACACAGAAACACTTTTTTCTTCATTTACTATTTGATTTGTAATCCCCAAAGGCCATGTGTTTAAAAACTATGTTTGTAAAATTCTTTTAGCCTTTGAGATTTCCATTTTTTTTTAATTCTCAAAATGAGTAGCTTACATTGGCACATTGCAGATTTAGTAGCATAGTTCATATACAAGGCTTGTGAGATGTTAGAATGATAACATTGAACTTACATATTAAGAAAATACGTATATGAAAAGAAGAATTCATCCTCTTAAATGGTTATGTGTGCAATTACAGCACTTCAGGCTGCTCAGACAACTCAGCAACTGTTCACTTTGTATGACTCTGAAATTTTTCTTATGAATACGTAGCTAAGAAGTAGGTTTTATATGCAAAACATAAATACATACATTTAGAATTTCAATGCAAATATGTAGGGAGCTTAAGTGTTTGGAGTTCAATTTCTCTGTTCCTTTTCAGAACTGAACCTCTAAAAAAGTTAGACTTCACACATTCACACCTCAATTTCTTCTTATTTTCCCAAATATTACGTAATTTTTTAAAATTCTAAAATTGATTAATTAGTTAATTCTTCTGGAGCTTCTGGAAATCAAACCCAGAGCCTTGTGCATGCTAAGAACATGTTCTACCACTGAACCACTCACTGTTAAAAAGTTATTTTGTAACAGTTACTTAAAATCTGAATGTTTTAATTATTAACTTGCTGCAGAAATTTGTTTATTTTTAAGTATAATTTTACATAATTTCCCCTGATATGCATTTCATGCTGATTTTATAGCTATCAGATTCAGAATCAGCTAGTTATATTCAAGGATCAAGTAGTGATTTGCTTCTCTGAAACCATGGACCTGTCAGTTGCTAAAGCTCCAAAATTTGCCATGTAATGGGATATTTAAACATAATGAATGCAGTATTATAAAAATCAAAGATTCCTAGTGTAGAAATTTTCTCTTCTACATTTTGATCAATGACCACGTTACCTGTTCCAGAATATTTCTAGAATATCATTATTTGAAATAGTCCTAATTGGTAGGGTTTTTCTTTGAATTGAGGACTACATTTCTGTGGTCCAAAATTTACCATCCAGTTGAACCCAGAAAAAGCCTAGTGATTTTTAGCCAAGATAATTTATCAAGTACTTAATCATAGTTATTCTTTATAGTTTTCTTTACAGAATATTTGTGTAAACCCAAATAAATAAAAACAAAGAACACTAAAGACATGTGATTTGTTTAGATTCATGTTATTATATTTCATATCTTGGAAAGAAAAAATGAAACTAAATATTAATATGAGGACAACATTACTGTAAACAAAATACACTTTGAATTTTAAGGTCAAATTTCTTAATTAAAATTTGGGATATATCATACATCTATGTCCAGTATTTTATAATGTAAAAGTCTACAACATAACATTAACAAAATCAAAATATTCCAAAATAGTTTCTATTTTAAAATCATCTAGTAACAGGCTTTATTTTCAGTATAAAATATCTACCATATCATTTTTATCTTTATTGATATAACTTGAGACATGGAACACTGATCCATTGTTTTGCAAAAATGATTTATTTATAAGATTTGAGTGCTTGTTTAGTTTAGTCTAAAAATACCAAAGCTAATCTTAAAGAATATAATAGAGTATTCTACTGGCTTTACTACAGCAAATGGAACAATATATTACCTAGGATGTACTTGTTATTACTGAACAAAGCATAAAGTTAATGAGATGTTCTCCTTAGAGATAAGTATGGCTCTCATAACAGTAATTAATTTAGATTTCAGTCTCCCTGCTTGACAGACTATCACATCTTAATTTGTTTTGATTTTGTGGCTACTTTCTTATGAATTATTCTATGTGACAGGTAATTTTACACAAAAGTATCCCTTGACAGATTAAATAACCTAGAAATGTAATTTCTGTGCCTTTTATTTTTAAAAGGTGGGCCCCTTAGATCATTTCTGCGGATGAAGTAACATCAGCAGAAAAATAAATGTTCTTCCTACCCTTCAAAGTTACTTAACTCCATGAGAGTTAAGTTACCAATGTATTATTTATGTTGTTAGCAACCTTGACCTTATACACTGTCTGAACTGATCTACAACTTTGAACCTTCATCTCAAAAGCCTCTAGTGTGATTTCTTTCTGTTTTCCTTAAAAATCCTTTTCTATCCCAACATGTGTTCTTTTTTTTTTTTTATCTTATTAGCTTTATTTTCACATGTCCTTTTAGGCTGACTGCTAACGTTTGTGGTCTACGCAGTTACATTTTTTTATACTGTGTTTTCACGTTTGTATTCGGCCCATGATTTACATAATTGTTCCTAGCTTGTGTTGCCTTAACGTTAGCAGTCAAGTTGGCGAAAGATATTATCAACAAAGTACTCTGCTAAAAGTAGATGTCCTCAGTCTGGGCCAAATGCTGGCCGTCAGTTACTGTCACACGCAACTTCAGGGTCAGTTCCTGCCCTCTTTTTCTTACGCACAACTGCCATAGACATCAGCATCCATGCAACTGGAACTGAGTGTGAGTGTCCAGGATAGGTTTTGGCATGGAAGTCCCTGACAGCAGGACTTGGCTCGGGATTTGTTTAAATGCAGGACCTCACTTTGGACTACAGGAAAGGGAGGATGGAGAAAAGAAAGAGAGTTGTCTGCAAGAACATAATGCTTAAAGCCTGGTATACAAAACAAATAGATATATTAAAAGAGATTTTTAAGATGTGATATTAAAACACATGATGGATATGATTTCTTAGGATGAAAAACAACCAGTAAAAATAAGATAGGGCAGCAAATTAATGGTTTTGTTCATTTCATAACTTTCTCTCCTGCTTCCAAACTGTCCTTGGCTTTATGCTTGATTTATTTTCCTTTCTATTACAGATATAAAGGTGTCTTTCTTCCCATATGAGACTCGTCACATAATACGCTTTTGATCTTGTCCTCTTCCAAATCTTCTCGGCATGGCTCTCTCCGTCATTGTACCTTTTGTCTTTCTTCCCCCCCCCCCTTGTTTTGCTGTTGGAGTTTTAATAGGATTGTGAGTATTGAAAACAGAGACTCTCAAAGGAGAGCTTAAGAACAGGTAAGGCAGCCAGTAGGATCCTCACCTAACTCCTTCCAGAAGCTGGAAGGAGTCCGACAAGCAAACCCTGATCCCAGAAGTAGGAGGGTGTGTAC